AAATAAGATCGGGTTTACGCCCTCACAGGTGTATCTAATACATACAGTTTTAACGATCAATAAGTGTGCTCATATTATGACAAACCTTATATATCATCCGGAACACGACAAGAGTATAACATTACTTAAAGGGGCATTAGCTGTCAAATTAATGTTCACCGATTTGACTCAAATTCTTATATTTGATTTATATCACACCAGTGGCGGATCCAGAACTTTTCATAAGGGGGGAGGCGCTGACTGACCTAAGGGGGGGGGGGGGGGGGGCGCTCCAGTCATGCTTCAGTGATTCCCTATATAATCAACCAAATTTTTCCCACGAAAGGGGGAGCCCGGGACCCCCAGGGCCCCCTGGATCCGCATATGCACACTAAAACGTATATCCAAATTATAAAAGTCTAAAATAAACAATTTACGATGCATGGACTCGATAATACGTATCAGCATTTCTTATGTATTTTAGTCTAGACGCCATCCAATTAACGTTCGAGGTGACCTCCGAAGACTGCCGACGGTCATATAACCCGATATAAACATAAATATACATATAAATAGATAGAGAACACGTACAATTGGATTTTTCTAGGTCTGTTTGATTTCATAATTATCATAGGTTAAAAAATATGTTAATCACCTTTTTTACCTGTATAAGAATGAGTTTTTGATTGTGGATCGAATAAGTCAACCAAATGGTTTACACTGGTTTCACTTTCAATGTTGACATTCTTTTCCTTTTAATAGCTGAACACGCCTAGTTTATGCTTAACTTATCTCTAGCTGAAAGGAATTAAATTGAAGGTCACATGAATACGGATTCAATGAGGTCAAATTATTCACTTGCAAATGAATAATGCATCAGCGATGTTTCTTATCTTCTTTTGACAGAATTGAACCAAACTGGCTGCTAAAAGCGAATTGTTATTTCACTTTCTTTATGATTGAACAAAAAAAAATCATATTTTATGTTTTTTTATACCACGTAGCTAATGCCCCTTTAAATCGTGCTCCTAAATCGCCTCGGGTGTAACAAACGTTAAAAAGCCAAAGCATGACAAACCTTAAATAGCTAAAGTATGAATGTCCTTAAATAGACAAAGTATGCCAAGCAAGCCTTATATACCCCTACCCCCCCCCCCCCCCCCAAAAAAAAAAATTAAATTCTTGCTTTAATTCGCCAAGTATGGCAAACCTTAAAGTGTCCCGAGTATGAGCCTTAAACGACTTGAGCATGACAAACATTGAATAGCACAGAGTTAGACCAGTCTTTATTCGCCCAGTGTCTACCAAGCCTTAATTAAATAGCCCCGAGTATTCCAACTCTCAATCCACATAGTGTATGACAAGCTTGAAATCGACCCTTTTATGACAAGCATTAAACTACCCAAGTATGATGAGCCTAAAATCGCCCAGTGTATGACAATCCAAAAATCGTCCCGTTTAGGACAAGCCTTCAATCGCCACGAGTATAATAAATTTTGTGCTAGATTAGTTAGACGATATTCGTTGTTGTCAATTTTCTCGGAGTGGTCGGCTTTTTGGTGGTTTGGTCTGTCTAATAATTTTGGTAATTTTTATTATCCTTTTTATGTATTGTGGAAATAGATACATAGACGAGTGAACTAACGTATTTGAATTTTGGTACATCAATCTTTTGTTATGGAAATATCGTTAAAACAAACTACGTAATTACCCGGAAATTGATTTGAATTCACGAAGAATCAAAAAATCATTTTATACTTGAGAAACGCTTGTTATCGTCTGTGTGCAATGTTTCCACATACATGTATGTAAGCTCACAAAATCGTCAAATGACCCCATACAAGAGTTACTGCCCTTGAAAGACGAATTTTTGCGGGTTATAAATTAAAGAAGATAGAGGGAAATTGTAAAGGCAAAAATGTTCAGCAAAATAATTTCTACAGATAAGTCAACATGGCCAAAATCGTTAATCAAAACCTTCAGGGGAGTTATTGCCCTTGAAAAATAATGTTTACACATTTTTTACGAAACCATAATACTAAAGTAGATATAAATCAACAATATGTAACAAATATGTTCAGCAAAATAAAATCTACTATTAAGAAAATACACTCAAAATTGTCCATTGACCACTTACAGTAGTTATTGCCCTTGAAAGATGTTTTTTTACCTGTTTTTTTATAAATGTGATAAATAGATAGAGATAAACAGTAAAAAAAACCGTCCAGCACAATAAGATCTCAAATAAGTCATGGCCGAAATTGTCAACCAACTCCTTATAGGATTGACTTTCTCTAAATGATGATTTTTAACCATTTTTTTTGCCATTTTGACAAAAACTATAGAAGTTAGAAAGAAACTTATAAGGCCAAAAAGATCAACAAAACAAGATCTAAAAGTTCGCCAACATGGCCAAATTATCAAACTTATAGGATTCATTGCCCTTAAATGACGATTTTTACTAATATTCCTTGTAATTTTTCCAAATACTAGTATCTTGAAAACAGAAATAGATAGGCTTAAAATGTAGACATAAAATGATCGATACAAGATTTACAAAAATGCTACAAAAGAGGATTTACAAATAAGCACACATAACTGATTGCAATACAGGAAAACATCAATATCAAAACGGCATATTATATAACAGGTGTGCGATGCATGCTCTTGGGAGCTTCTTGTTTGTTCATACACAATAAACTTGTAATTGCGGCTTCTCCGCTGAAGTTTATAAAACTGTAAGTTCGGAATTGTTTTCCTTCATTCTGTTACCTTGTGAGCATAGTAAAAGTTAGCCTCAACATGTTCGTCTTTAGTTCTATAATATAAGCCTTCGTAGGTCCATATCTTTGCATTCAACGTTTTTTTTATTGGATATTTTACCTCGTGGTTCAACATTGTGAGTAAAAAAAATCTGATAAAAACGTTGAATGCAAACGATATGGGCCCACAAAGGCCTATATTATAGTATCAACGTATATTTGTTCCGCCTAGCAGAAGTTCCCCCTGGAAACTGTATTATAAACAATGCAATAATATCTGTTCCTGTTGGAACAAATCTTCTATACCGAGCATGCAAATACTGTAATATTTGTTCCAGTGGAAATATTATTACAGAATATTTCTTCCACTTGGAACTTATATTATGAAGGAACTTCTATTTCGTGACAACAGGACTGGTTTGTTTTGTACATCACACGCTCACATTAACATCATGTCATCGTGTTATTTTTTTTTTCAATTTGTTTAAGATATGTCCGCTAAACGTCTAAAATAGTCTAATATGCATGTTCCGTCGTAATGACTTTCTAACTAGATACAATACCTTAGGTTAGTGATTAGCTCATCCTCGATCATTGTCGCTTTTTTCTTAATAAAAGTTAATTAATGGAGGAGACACATTTCCACGATGTAATGCTTTAATACGAACTATTCTTGTCAATGTTCCTCGGGTTGTCCTTTAAACTCGAGAAAGGTGGGTGCAGCATAGATGCAATGATAAGCACGAAACTGTGTTTTTAAAAGTTCTTTTGACATTAATGACTTGCTCTACCGGAGACAAATTTACCGGTCCACGCCTTCCTTACACCTTGCGTATTCAAATTCCTACATCGATGTCTTAGATTTTTAAACATTGGGTATCTACCTACGAAAAGAAAGATATTAACTGACCACATGGTATACTCGCACAGATCTAAAATATACAAGTGTGAAGATGTGTTATGATTGGGAATGAGACAACTATCCACCAGGGACCTAATGGTGTAAAAGTAAGCAACAGTGAACAAACCCCATGCCGCAAAGTATGTTATCATAAGTGGCACCGACTTGACAAATGTAAATCTAAATCGAACTTCAAATCGAACTCTAACTCGGTGTTTTTTTCAGACTCAATTCGTACGCACCACATTGAATGTCGCGCGCACGCGTTTAAAAATAGTGTTCACCAAATAAAAAATCGTGAGCACCAGTTGAAAGTCGTGCGAACAAGAATAAATGTTTGAAAGTCGTGCACAGCAGTTAAAAAGTCACAAGCATCAGATTTAAACTCTTGCGCAAAGTCGCAGTATATAAGTCCTGCGTGAAAGTTTTTTGAAAGCCTTGTGTTCGAGTTTTTGAATGCTTTGTCTACATATTCAAAAGTCGTGCGCATTAGTTTGAAAGTCATACGCACCAGTGTGAAAGTCGAGCTCACCAGTTTTAAAGTGCTGCGTGAAAGTTTTTGAAAGTCTTGTGCAGAGAAGTTTTTTAATATCGTGTGAAGAAAAGCACGAGTTTAAAATGTTCAAAAGACATTCGCACGTTTTTTTCCAAACAGGTGCGCACCAATTTTAATCTACCTCAAATGAAAATATTTATTACTAAACGGGATATGTAATAAATTGATTTCTAGATTTCATGTTTGTAAAATTTGAACGTTTTATTGTACAAGGCCCTATTTGTTACCCAAAAATCATTATAAAACGTGAAGTAACGAAGAAGACTATCACATTAATACATAATAATACGTCAATGTATGGGTTAATCATTTCCCGTTTAAGATGCGACAATTGCTCTTCATCTCAAACTAATATCATTACAAACAAATCACTTTAATTGACATTCAATCAAAGATTATAGAATTTTCATACTTAGTACTTGATATTTCCCGATTTTGTTTTATTGAATGGTTCTCAATTAAACTTAAATTGATCAATTTGAAATATAAATGCAAATGTGAAATAAAATGTTACACCAAATCAGATATAAAAACAATGTACGTCAATTAATAGATAAATATTATTTCTCAAATCAGATGAAACAATTTTTGTTTAATCTATATCCAAAGTTATTACAGAAGCTTTGAAAGAGAGTCACTATTGTTAGAATTCAATAAGAAAATGTTGACTTTTGCTAGGGGCGTGACTTATCATTTATTTGTATATTGCTATGGTATATAATAATAATGATTGACATCTAGATGACCATGTGTTTAGCTTTAAAAGTTTTCCGATTTCTCAAAATTTCATAATAATTTAACGACGATATAAGGTCATATCGGAATCTTAAAACATTACTAACAATTTTTCAAAATGGAAAGGTGCTATTGTAATTTTATTTCATGTTTTGTAGTAAGTATGATTTTATGTATATTGTGTTTGTCTGTTAACAACACACGATCAAGCTAAACTGTCTTTTTTGCTTATTACAATCAAGAAGAATAATTGCTTTATTTGACAAAATGCATAAAAAAATCTTTAGAATTCAGGCATATTATTTTATTTTAATTGATGATGACTGAATCTGACATTACAAAAAGGAATAAGATCATTCCGTGTACTAGTATTAACTATAACATTTTATTGAAATTAAAGTCTGTATTATGAATTATGAATATAAGTAGATGTGTTGTAAACTTCCATGAAAACACTTAAACAGCAACCCAACGACACAAATAACAAAAATATATCTATGTTTGTTATACAGAATGGTAAAATAAATATATAATACTAGTGCAAGAAAGCAGATGAAACATCGTTATGTTTATATCATTGGTTCTGTTTACTTAAATCAATGTTAAAGCAATAGCTATCCTACACACAAGATGAACAACCACAATTGAAGATTTGTTTTACTTATCATATCACTTATCTCTTTATTGTTTTGAAGTGACATGACATTAACTGAAATGTCTTCAAGATTAGTTTCATAACTAACAACGAGACACAACCATGACAATGAATGGAATGTCTCCAAATGAGTTTTCATACCTGACAATAAGACGCAACCATGACAACGACCGCAATGTCTTATACGTTAGTTTTCATACACGACAAGAAGGCACGACCATTACAACCAACAGAATGTCTTCAAATATACTTTGTTTTATACCCAACAACATGAAACCACCATGTTAATGACTGGAATGTCTTCAATAATGATTTGCATACTGAATAACATACACGGCATAAAAACGACTGGGTGTCATAAAAATGAGTTTGTATGCCTATCAATAAAACACTACCTTGACAATGACTGGAATGTTATCAAAATGAGTTTCCATACTATAGCAAGACACGGCCATCAAAACGTCAGGAGTGTTTTCAGATATGACTTTTCAAGCATGAAAACTAGACACGAACTTAACAACGACTAGAATGTCATAACAATTAGTTTTCAGTCCTGATAACAAGATCGACTGGAAGGTCTTCAAAAATGAGTTTTCATACTTGACAACAAGGCACGCCCATACCAACCACTGGACTATCTTAAAAAAATGAGCTTTTATACTGACAACAAGATACGTCTATGACAACGACTGAAATTTCTTAAAAAATTAGTTTACATGCATGACAACAAGATACATCCATGACAACAACTGTCTCCAAAAAATAGTTTGTATGCATGACAACAAGATACATCCGTGACAACAACTGTCTCAAAAAATTAGTTTTCATGCATGACAACAAGCTACGTCCATGACAACAACTAAAATGATTTCAAAAATTAGTGTTCATACATGACAACAAGACACGAACATGACAACGATTGGAGTGTCTTGTTGACAACTTTTTGATATTCATTGATAAATACTTCAGATGTTAAGAAACATTTCGGGAGAATGTAATAAATTATTTCAACACATTCACGATAGACATCTTTTTCTTGACAGAAATTAAAGTTTTTTTTAAATGTTTGTATCACTTAAAATACATTGTTTATGAAATGTTTTTGTATTATAGGTGATCGTCCTTGCCATAAGTGAAATCGAATCTTACCGTCGAAAATGTGTAAGTATTTTTATTTTTTTTCCCACTGAAAAATTCTTTAAAAGCGAAATTATGATTTATCAAAATTAAAGTGTTGCATACTAGTAGCATAGTTTATATATATATATATATTCACATTTTGGTCGAATTTATACGCAGTCATGATCGGATTAGGAATTTCGGTCAGAAGATTTGCACCGCCAAAAATATATGATTTTTATAATTTCATCGCATCATATGGAAAAAGCAAGCTTAAAAATGTTTTGTCTGATATGACATCGTTACTTAAATCAAAATTATGGAACTTAACTTTTGTATTTTATGATGTTACGCAGAAATTTGGAAACTTACATAATAATGTAATGATACAAAATAAAAGATTATCATGGGAATTGGCTTTAGAACCAAGTAAAAAAAGAGAGTATGGTACCGATCTCAGGGCGCATGCCATGTGATTCTGCAATTACACGCGAAATATGTTTAGGGAAGCTCAATGTAGTTTGATGTCCTTGAGGGTACTTATGGAGTCAACCGATGTAACATTTGCTATTTTTATCTACAAACCTGCACGTGTTAAGGAAATTAATTGCGTATTTCGAATTCTGTACATTCTGGTCTGATACTTGTAACTATCAATCGAGGTAAACAATCTTAAACCTTTTAGCGAATCTACGTAGCGCATGGAATTATTATCTAAAAGGAGTTTCCCAAACTTTCTTCAGAGACTACGAGAACAATATTTATAATTATAAATGATAATCCATATCGCCTTTATCTTAGTATCATGTGTATAACTATCTCTAACTTTCTTAGAATTTGTTACCTAATTCTTTCTTAGATCAATATTGATAACAAATAGTTTATAGTAAACATTATTGCTCGTAGAGTCACGGAATCTTATCATTTGACTCCTACGTTGAATGAAATCTAGTTCTCAGGAAACACGAACATATAACGAATATCAATAGTAGCACCTTTGTATCTTTAAAGGTAAATTAGCCTTCGATTTGAAGCAATCAAATCCGCTTTTAGAAACAATAAAAAGTAATTAATGGGTAAAGGTGAATGGAATATAGTGTCATCAACAAACAACACAGAAATAAAATTGAGAATGGAAATGGGGAATATGTCAAAGAGACAACAACCCGACCAAAGAGCAGGTAACAGCCGAAGGCCACCAATGGGTCTTCAACGCAGCGAGAAAATCCCGCACCCGGAGGTGGTCCTCAACTGACCCCTAAATAAAAATGAAAGTCTTTTTGACATCTGGATATATATATAAAGACAGCCGTTGAATAAACCGCAGGTATAGATATTTTTTTTTGCCAATGTAATTGTATTTTTTTTTCATACTTTCTGTTTATTTTTTTTAATAATACCAATATTAGTATTGTTACTATCAATATGTGGTATACTATACATGTCCGTATACTAGTACTGAAATACTATCAATGTGACACACTTTGATCCGTGTCCGTATATTGAAAACATAACATTGATAGTAAACCTACACATATTGGTGCCAACGTTAAGAATTTGATAAAATTACCGGAAATACGAAAAACAAATTACTATTACTGTAACAATAGAAAAATTATATCTATATATCTGGCTTTATCTATCTCTATTTATTCAACGACTATCTATATAAATCTAGATTTCAAAAAGGCATTTTAAAGTACAATGATTAAAAAATTTATGCAAACATGTATATCCATTAACCGAGTAACCGCGTGGCTGATTGACTGATTGTTTTTGGTTTAACGTACAGTGGCAGATAGTTCGTGCATGTTTAGGACGAAAGAGGCTATGTAGAGTATACGCCTTTGTTTTATTAAATAACTAGTTGAAACCTAATAGTTTTTCTTTCAGAATTTAGATTGTGAAGTTGGCGAAAAGTGCGTATTAAAAAGGAGTACATGTTCATACCCACCGTGTTCAAAATATCCCGTATGTGTAGGTAAGTCTTCAGAAAATACAAAGCAGTATAAAGTAAAATCCTGTATTTATCGAGTTGTTTATATTCTGTACTTTACGATAGTCTAATTACCTTAAGTTGTATAAGAAATGTCAAATTTGTAAATCTGTCAATTATGAGACCAACCATTTCACTTTAAAAGAAATATGTTCTGTCTTCAAGGCTGGCAATTTTTTTCTTCTTCAATAAATGAAATTCCGAGTTATTGAAAAACTAACCTTATATTCCGCTCTCTCGTTCACCTCGAGAAGAGCACTTTGGCGATGGGATTTATCAAGTTTACTGAAATGTAGAAAAAAACAGAGACAGAGTCCCCCTAGATCCATTACTTCTCTCTTTACACCGTTCAGTTTGCCTTTTAAATAAATTTATCAGTAACTATCAACGGTCTATCAATAATGCAAAATCTTCCAAATAATTAAAATCATTAATGTATTCTTAAAGACAGCTGGCAAGGTTCTGACTTAGGCCAGACACATAAACTTGTGGAGTGTTCGTTTATTTAAGGTCTCACCCCCTCCACATTTTCTATCTTTTTCAGTCAAATAACAAAATGTATAGAAAGAACAGACAATAAGGACCGTAAAGCCTCTGTACACGAAATATTTGTAGATAATTAATTATTTTATATTAAGGCTATAATTAAGTATCTCTCTGTAACAATTGTTTTTTCTCTCTCTCCTGCAGAAATAGATAGTAACAGTACAAATTGTTTTTTTCTCTCTCTCCTGCAGAAATAGATAGTAACAGTACAAATTGTTTTTTCTCTCTCTCCTGCAGAAATAGATAGTAACAGTACAGAAGAAATAACAAGAACACGTTCGGGTACTTGCCCTGAAATTGTAACACCCGGACCATGTATGGAACAATGCCAAAATGACGGAGACTGTCGACATAGTGAAAAATGTTGTTTCAATGGCTGTGGAAATACATGTAGATCAGTAGTCCCTGGTAAGTGTGAATAGTCTGTAGAAATATAGGTAGACCTGTAGTAATCGGTAAATGTGGATAGACCAAGTATGTCCAAATAAAATTAAAGGAGATGTGGTATGATTGCCAATGAGACAACTATCCACCAGAGTTCAAATGAGTTAAATGTATGCAATTATAGGCAACCGTGCTTATTCCGTCATTAAGATGGGTTCAAAATTAAGTCTTTCTAACATATCATGTTAGTGAAAAGTATGGATAGTCTATGGCAAATTTGGTCTATGGCGAATAGTTGCAATCATACAGCATCAACTTAGGGAGCTACCATTTGATTTTTATGGGGGGGGGGGGGGGGGGGGGGAATTTAAAAAAAAAGGCAGGACAGGAGTATTGAGTTATAAAAAAAAGGCAGGATGAGCAACTTTGCAAAAAAAAAAAAAAGGCAGGATGACAAATTATTTAAAAAAAGTCAGGATAAACTAATAAAAAAAAGGCAGGACCGAATAAAGTGAAAAATAAAAAGGCAGGACCGAGATTACAACTACAAAAAAATGCAGGACACAATTTTTCATCCTAGAACCCCCCCCCCCCCCTTATAAAAATCAAATGGTAGCTCCCTTATTTGATTTAGTATAGGATCTGGTAAGTTTGGAGAGTTCATGGAAATATAGACTATATATTTAGTAAGGCCTTAAGTAGACTTGTAAGGCTTTAAGTAGACTAGTAAGGCTTTAAATAGCTGACTATACGGTCTGGGTTTTTTTCATAGTTGAAGGCCGTACGATTGCCTTTTCACTTCCTTTGAACTTTGGTGGATAGTAGTCGCATTGGCAATCATACCACATTATTTTTATATAGTAGATACAGGTAGGTGTGGATAGTTTTTTTGGGAATATATGTAGATGCAAAATAAATGTCAATTGTCTCAATCATTATGGTATGACAAAAACTCAGGTAGAAAATAAACAATACTTGATAATACCTTTCAAAAAATGCTTCAGTTAATCTTCTGGAAAATTGACTAGAGGGGTAGCATATATAAACTATAATTATTGTTATATTGTATGAATAAGAGCAAGAACACATAAGATAAGTGAAAGTTAGTTAAAATGTTGTTTATTTACACAGAAAAGTAAACACCAAAAACAGAAAGTACAAAAGGGGTTAATGCATCAAGCGCTTAATTGTGGAATAAACAAATCAATATAAAACAAATAAAAATAATGAGGTGGGAACATACAAAATTATATAAAAATAAGGAGATGTGGTATGATTACCAATGAGACAACTATCCACCTACAGTTCAAATCAAGGGGAATAAAATCGAGTAGAAGTTAATTCTTGTCAGGTTCTGACGGACTTCTATCTTTTTTTATTATAGTGATAGTAGGAAAACCGGGTTCCTGTCCATGGGATTTACGACGACAGCCATTGTGTGGAATGGACTGTTCAAGTGACTCACACTGCCCAGGCAGTGAAAAGTGTTGTCTAACGGCATGCGGTAGTACATGTTCAAGACCTTGTTACCATTGGTTACAAAGAGGTAGCTATGAAGGAGTTGGAAATGCAATTTGGTCTTTGCCATACCAGTGCCGTCCAGCATTTTAACGCTAAGCTCAATACTCAAAAATGTTTCTGTGATTAAAATACTTTGTGATTTCAAAAATAGTTTTACTCTAGCTTTGCAAGTTCTTAAAATGCATTTAATTAAGGAATGACTGTAATATTTTTTTCTGTCTGTGAAGAAATAACATCATAAATGTGGTGCACACTGAATAACACGCGTAGCGGGTTATTTAACAGTGTGCACCACATTCTTTATTTCGAATAGACGGAAAACATATTACAATCAGTCCTTATAATTTAATTCTAAATTCCATTTTTAAGGAGTAAATCATGATAAAAACGTTGATGACGTCATGGTCACATGACAAAATTATGTCTATGAGCTGAAAAACAAAATTCTCTCAGCCAATCAGAAGACGTGTTACATCCAAAATTAAATTATAACGTTATAGATATAATGTTTGTACTGATTTTAATACATGTAATTTTGTCCTGTTGTAGGGATAACACTAGAATATGATTGATTTTTTTTAATTTTTATTTACATGATGTATGTATATTGTGTTCAAATTTTGTGTTAATCTCCTGATTTTGTTTATAATGAGAAAGTCTTATCTTATGTTATGAGACTATTTCAAATTTTATCACTGTTTGAACTTTGTTTTAATAATATTAAACAGAATTTTTAATTTCATTATGTGTAGAAATACGTTAACATAGGTTGAAGGACTATCCATTTTACTGTATATTTTCAGTAGAACTACATAGGAGATCGTCATGCTCTGTGATAAATGATATACATGTATAGAGAATAATACAAAGTGACATTTTTATCACATGCTGGATCAACCAAAAAAATGAATATCAACAAGAGGGCAGTATGCCTAAGAGCTGATATTGATGGTGGTTTGTTACAGCTTACAATGAAAATTTTACCATATGTTATTTTCTCACTTTATCATATATTCAAAGTCCTTCAAACTTGATAATCCATAAAAGGTGCGATATAGGGCATGCACTAAGGGTATGAGCACTATAGGAGGGTATAATATAGGATTAAGCGTAGCATTCGGATCAGGAATGCAAAACAGCATTATCAACGGCTAAATATGTGATAAAGTGTAATAATTTCCATTTGTGAATGAATGAATTGTTGTTATTGGCATGCTCATTATTTATTTATTGATATTTTTGTGTTGTTATTGTTTGTTAATAAAAGTCAAAATGATGCGTACTTTTTCACTTGCAAGAATCAGAAAGAGAGACACAGTGAATCATTTATTGCACTCAAAGTGCTTTCGTGGATAAATGTTATAAATTAATGCTTTGAACTGAGCATTTATTTTTCAAAGTCACAGCAATACAAAAGACTTATCAGTGACGCTCGAATAAAAAAAGATAAAAGGCCAAATAAATTACGAAGTTGAGGATCATTGTGCAAGGGCGGATCCAGGATTTTAGGTTAGGAAGGGCGCAAACTTAATTTTTTTTTGAGGTAAAATTATCAAAATATTCTTTATTAAGCTGAGGACAACCCATGCTTTGCAAATTTTTTTTTTGGGGGGGGGGGGGGGTGTGGGGCGCACGCCCGCCACGCCCCCGCCTGAATCCGCCCCTGTTGTGGACCCTAAATTCTGAAAGATTTTGCCAAATACAATTAAGATAATCTATTCCTGGAGTAGAACATCATATAAGTAACTCGAACATTTCAGTTGGTTCATAGGATAACTTTGTCTATGGCATATATAACCTAAGTTAAGTAAATTTTGATAGATGGATGGCTGTATAATGTCCAGTGGCAATTATCACACGAATATTCAGGAAGAAACATGTAAAATGTGATATAAATATAAACTCTGCATTGTACTAATCAGATCTTTAAAAGTAAAAAAAAAATGGCATAAACTATCTTGTAAAATCAGATTCACTTTCAGATACATTGATTATTGTAATTCAGTTATTTACATTTTAGCAAGTGCTTGTATCTCATATATCCATCTTAATTTGATATAAAGGGGTAAAATTATTCCAAATCTGGAATTGGAATTTTGGACAGGCAAACGGAAAAAGATGGGCATGTACTCAAAGATTTGGATAACGATTGAGCCAATACATCACCCTAAACTTCTTTTACAGTGAACTAAGCAAAAATTGCGGGAATGCTATAACACTCACCATTATTTTCATGAAATAAGATTAAGTCTCATAATTCAGGAATAACACATAAGAAACTTACCTTGTAAGATATAGTTGCTTATTGCATAGTTTGTAATACTAATGTTGAATATCATGCAATTTTGTGAAACATAACACTTGTCCCTGAATTTGGTAATAATTAAAGTCTTATCAATTCAAATGACAATTATGAAGCTTTCTGCCTGCAATTTTGCAAAGTGTGTCATATTTTAACATTGTGTCAAAGTTTCATAAAAATAAGTCATGTAAAATTTCAGTTATCATATGAAGAATGCACAGACTGACTGAATTTTATGATTAAAGTCCCATACCTTCTGAACAATGAATTAGAAAGTCTTTGAAAGAAAACATGAGTGCACGTGCTGAAAAGTCTCGGCCTACTTTAACTGATCATGATAGAATTTATGGTGAAAGTCTAAAACAAAGGTTTTACTAAAATATTACATAAACTTAACATTATTAATGAACCTTGCAAGGATCCAATATACCAAAAATAGTATCATATTTCACGAAATAAGTGAGAAATGTGCATGACAAAACTTCACAGTTTTTTTTTTGTGGAGCTGTCGCAGAAAGCGAAACATAGGGATAGTGATCTGGCGGCGGCGGCGTTAACTAACTACTTAAAAGCTTAATATTTCAGAAGGTAGAAGACCTGGATCCTTCATACTTGGTATATAGATGCCTTATGTTATAAAGTTTCCATCTGTCATATGTCCATTGTCCTTGGCCTCATTTTCATGGTTCAGTGACTACTTGAAGAAGATTTTTTGTAATGCTAATTTCTCTCTTATTGTGAGTAATAGGATAATTATATTTGGTATGTGCGTACCTTGCAAGTCCTCATACCTGTCAGACAGTTTTCACTTGACCTCAACCTCATTTCATGGATCAGTGAACAAGGTTAAATTTTCGTAGTCAAATTCATATCTCAGATACTATAAGCAATATGTCTACTATATTTGGTATATGGAATGATTGTAAGGTGTACATGTCTAACTGGCAGGTGCCATCTGACCTTGACCTCATTTCCATGGTTCAGTGTTTAAAGTTAAGTTTTTGTGTTTTGGTCTTTTTTTCTAATACTGTATGCAATATGTCAACTATTTTTGGTGTATGGAAATATTTTAAGATGTACATATCAGTCTGGCAGGTTTTATTTGACCTTGACCTCATTTTCACGGTTCATTGCTCAATGTTAAGTTTTTGTGTGTATGTCTGTTTTTTCTTAACTATAAGCAATAGGTCAACTATATTTGGTGTATGGAATGATTGCAAGGTGTATATGTCTGTCTTGTAGTATCATCTGACCTTGACCTCATTTTCATGTTCATTGGTCAATGTTAATTTTTCCTGGTTAAGTGTATTTCTTAGATACTTTAACCAATAGGTCACCTATATTTGCTGCATGGAATGATTTTGAGGTGTAGATGTATGTCTGGCAGGTTCATCTGACCTTGATCTCATTTTCATGGTGCATTTGTCAATATAAAGTTTCCATGGTTTGGTTTGTTTCTTGTATACTATAAGCAATAAGTCAACTATATTCTATATGTGGAATGATTGTAAGGTGTTCATGTATTTCTGATTTGGTTTATATCTGACCATGACATCATTTCCTTGGATCATGTTAAGTTTATGTGACACTTGTAGTAAAACTTTATATAAAGGACTATCATCATAAAATCAATGGTCAGTAAAGCAGGCGAGACATTTCAGCGTGTGCACTCTTGTTTAACGCAGTCACTGAACCCTATAAATGAGGCAATGACAATGGACAGATAGAAACTTCATTAGATCAGGTATCTATATACAAGATATAAAGCATCCAGGTCCTTTATCTTCTGACATATAAAACTTTATTAATAGTTCACACCATTGTCGCTGACGGTGCAGCCAGATCAGCATCTCTATGTCTTACATTCTGTGACTTTCATGACGGGGGAAACAAAAATGAGGTGTTTTAATTGGATTAGATATCATTAAAAGAAAGGCGAAATATACCAAAGAGACATTCAAACTCATAAGTCGAAAATGAACTGACAACGCCATGGCAAAAAACGAAAACGGACCAAAAGACAAACTACTATGAAAACACAAAAAAGAAAACTAAAGACTGAGCAACACGAACCCCACCAAAAACCAGGGTAAATCTCGGGAGATTGGATGAGTACGCAGATCCTGCTCCACATGTGACACCCGTCATGTTGTCATATCTTTTGTCGTAAAATTTTTTCTCAACCGACTCTCATTGCAAATTTCTAGATGTGAGGTAAGATATGAGACGTACTTATCTATATCTGTTGTATCCTTGATTTCAAATTCGATGGGATAGATGCGTTCAACATAGTCACTAAATTTTGTATTATTTAGGACATATCTATTTAGCGCACAGCGAAGTTAAATGATAAAGCTAACAGCTTTACATTCTTCCTAAGATGCTCCTGTGTGAAGTCTGCCTCATATGAATAAAGGAATAAGTCGGCAAGAAGAGGAGCACAATTGGTTTCCAATGGAATGCCGATTGTTTGTTGAAAAACACGTCCTCCAAACGTAACAAATACATGTATTTTGTCAATAAAAAATAAAATGCTCCGCAGGGCGCAGCTTGATACGACCGCAGAGGTCGAACCCTGAACAGTTGGGGCAAGTATGGACACAACATTCAAGCTTGATACAGCTCTGAATTTGGATTGTGATTAAATATTTGACACAGCATAGGTTTCTGACACAGAATGAATGTGATCTAAGAACTTAAAAATTTTAAATTGGACATTCACCTATTATGGTCCAATATCCAAAATCTAAATACATGGTTAGATTCAGCATATCAAAGAACCCCATATATTCAATTTTTGATGAAATCAAACAAAGTTTAATTTTGGACCCTTTTGACCTCAATGTGGACAAAGTTGATAACGGGGCCCAAAAATCAAAAATCTAAATACATGGTTAGATTCAGCATATCAAGGAACCCCATATATTCAATTTTTGTTGAAATCAAACAAAGTTTAATTTTGGACCCCGATTTGGACCAACTTGAAAACTGGGCCC